CTCTGGTGCTGCTGAGGGTGCTGAGCCTGGGGGTGCTGACTCTGGGGGTGCTGAGCGTGTGGGTGCTACGCCTGGGGGTGCTGAGCCTGGGGGTGCTGAGTCTGGGGGTGCTGAGTCTGGGGGTACTACGACTGGGGGTGCTGAGCCTGGGGGTACTACGCTTGGAGGTGCTGAGCCTGGGGGTGCTGCGTCTGGGGGTGCTGAGCCTGGGGGTACTACGCCTGGAGGTGCTGAGCCTGGGGGTGCTACGCCTGGTGGTACTGTGCCTGGCGGTTCTCCAGGTGCTCCTTCTCGCCGGGAGCCACTCTCTCCCCAGGAGCTACGTGAGTGGTTTGCCCGGCGCTGGAGGCGAGCTGCTGGAGCTGCTGGAGCTGGAGGTGCTGCGGGTACTGGAGGTTCTGTTGCTGCTGAGGGAGCTGGTGCCACGGGTCCCGGAGGTGCTCGTACTGGGAGTACTGGAGCTGCTGGACCTGCGGGTACTTCTGGAGCTGGAGTTGCTGCGGGTGTTGGCGCGGAGGCTACTGCTGTCGGTCCTGGAGGCGGTCCTGCTGGGGGTACTACTGGTGCTGCTGGGGGTTCTGGAGCTGGAGCTGCTACTGGTGCTGGTACTGCCACTGGGGGTGCTGGTGCTGTCCCTCCTGTGTCTGGAGTCGCCGCGCGGCCTCGACCGTACTTCGTTCCGCTCCTTCAGCAGGTCCTTGGTCTCCCGCCTTCTACTGGTCCTCCTCCTCCCTTAGAGTGTCCACAGCCTGTCCCGTCGCAGTTACAGTTACAGCCGGCCTACCCACTGCCTGCTCCGTCTCCCTACACTGGTCCTACTGGAGGTCTTGCTGAGCGTCGTGAGCCTGCGTCTCGCCCTGCGTCGCCTGTCCGTGCTGCTCGCACTAGTGGTCGCGGTTCGCGTCAGCGTCCTCCTCCTGTCCCTGGCACGCACCGGATGTCTCTGCGTCCTTCCACTGCTCCTCTGCGTGCCCCTTTGCCTTCTCCTCCTGAGTCTTCTCTTCCTGCTCTTGCCGACCCGGAGTCGGACTCTCTTCGCGCTGCCAGTCCTACTGTCACGCGTCTCCTTGCTACTGTTGTCACTGACCCTTCCTTTGAGTCCACTGCAGCGTCTGCTCTAGTTGCCGAGCTCGTCGACTTTGCTGCTCGCTGTCGCCTAGACTACGTCGCCAGTCTTGTTACTGAGTCTGAGTCTGTCTGTCCTCCGTCCGTCGGGGGTGAGTGTGCCCTTAGCACGGACGTCCTTGAGGACAGGCAGGAGGAGTTCCAGTGCTTGGCCGCTGCTTCACCTCATCTCGTGTCCGTACTGCTTACCCCTGAGGGAGACCCGGATGCACTTGACATCCCGACTCCGCGCTCTTACGCGGAGGCGATAGAGGGTCCCTACTCCTCTCAGTGGCAGGCAGCTATGGACGCAGAGATGGCTTCCTGGAAGTCCACAGGCACCTACGTTGACGCTGTTCCCCCTCCTGGGGCGAACATCGTCAGTGGCATGTGGATTTTCAGGGTGAAGCGACCACCGGGTTCTCCGCCTGTCTTCAAGGCGCGTTACGTGGCTCGTGGCTTCAGTCAGCGGCAGGGAGTTGACTACTTTCAGACCTTCTCTCCCACCCCGAAGATGACCACTCTTCGGGTACTGCTGCACGTAGCTGCTCACCGTGACTACGAGCTACACTCTCTTGACTTCAGTACTGCTTTCTTGCAGGGCAGCCTGCACGAGGAGATCTGGCTGCGTCGCCCACCTGGCTTCACTGGGTCTTTTCCTCCTGGCACCCAGTGGAGCCTACGGCGGCCAGTCTACGGTCTCCGCCAGGCACCGCGTGAGTGGCACGACACACTGAGGACTACACTTGCGGCTCTTGGGTTTGCTCCCTCTACTGCCGACCCGTCGCTGTTTCTGCGCACCGACACTTCTTTGCCGCCGTTCTACATCCTCGTGTACGTCGACGACTTGGTCTTTGCCACAGCTGACACTGCAGGACTAGCCCACGTGAAGTCCGAGCTGCAGAAGAGACACACGTGCACTGACCTGGGTGAACTGCGCAGCTACCTTGGCTTGCAGATCACTCGGGACAGAGCACGCCGCACCATTACCCTGACTCAGTCACACATGGTGCAGCAGGTCCTTCAGCGCTTCGGCTTCACGTACTCCTCGCCTCAGGCCACTCCTCTGCCTACTCGCCACTCGCTTTCAGCTCTGCCTTCGGATGAGTCCGTAGAGTCGAGTGGCCCGTACCCAGAGCTTGTTGGCTGCCTCATGTACCTGATGACCTGCACACGACCTGACCTTGCATACCCTCTTAGCATTCTTGCACGATATGTTGCTCCTGGGAGACACAGACCGGAGCACATGGCTGCAGCGAAGAGGGTGTTGCGCTACTTGTGCAGTACGTCGGGCATGGGGCTTGTGCTTGGAGGGCAGAGTCCAGTGGTCCTTACTGGGCACGCAGACGCTTCTTGGGCTGACGACCAGGCTACGCAGCGGTCGTCACAGGGTTACACCTTCAGCCTTTGTTCCGGCTCTGTTTCGTGGCGGGCTACCCGCTCGTCTTCTGTTCTCGGCTCCAGTTGTGAGGCTGAGATCTACGCAGGAGCCATGGCTGCACAGGAGCTTCGCTGGCTCACCTACCTGCTGACTGACCTCGGAGAGCCGCCTCGTTCTCCTCCAGTGCTGTACGTAGACAACAAGGCCATGCTGGCCTTGTGTCGAGAGCAGCGACTGGAGCACAGAACGAAGCACATTGCTCTCCGCTACTTTCTTGCTCGTGAGCTGCAGCAGCGTGGTCAGCTGCGTCTTGCGTACGTGGCCTCTGAGGCCAACACTGCTGATATCTTCACCAAGGCGCTTGCGCCTTGTGACCATCAGCGCTTCTGTACTCAGCTGGGCCTTGTGCCTACCTTGCCTCACTTGCTCACCTCTTGACCCTGCTTGTACTGTTACTTATATCTATACCTGCTCTTGCTTGTCTAGCCTTTTTTTTATATATGTACTCCTGCATGTGAACTGGCCTTGTGGCCTTGAACTTGTGCTCGGAATGTGTGGTGACTTTGTGATCCACCCTGAGCTTACTTTGCTTTGCTTTGCTTGACTGGTCTTGTGACCCCTTGTTCTCCCCCACTTTGCCTATGGGGGTGTGTCAGAACATTATAGCTCATGCATATTGTGTAGGCTATAGTGGGGTAGCCCATAAGGGGTACAACCCAATTAGGGTTAGTACTTGTACCCAATTCATTCATAGTTCATTCATTCCTCGTTTCTTCTCAGTGATCTGTTTTATTTTCCCCACACTTAAATGTGAAATCTCGTTAAGTTCATTGGGTTCCATGTACTGGGCCGAGTTCGAAACTTTTTGGAGGGGAACCAAAGCTACAGTTTCTGTCAAATGTTGTAGTCTGAGTGATGTGTGTAATAGGGGGCAGATTTGTTAGGGTTAGGTTTATGTGCCCCAACCAACCTTAGTCAAACAAATACTTTCAACCTGTGAGATCCCGCTAGAGCCTCTCGCGCCCGTTGCACGTAGTCGCCTGTTCCCGTTGCACCTGTTTCGTCCCGTAGCGCCCTTAGCGCGTGCCCGTCCCGTTACGAATCGCCCGTAGCGCTCGCACTCGTCACAATATATTTATATCTATTTAGTATAATCTGCCTGTAGTGTAGCTGCTGTGTAATTCCCTTGTATGGTGGTGCACCTCTTTCATATTTGTCAGGTTGCTATATGTACTCGTGTGCTATAGTGAACCAACAACCATTCTCAATTCTCCTTGGCACAAACTACTCGACACCCGTTTGGCCTAGGCTACTAAGCCTAGGCCCCTTAGTTAAACCCGTACTCTAGTTAACTTAGTATTGAAACATGGTATCAGAGCTAGGTCCGATTTAGGACCGTTCGCTTTACATGGGCCCACCACTAGCCCTCGTCGTGGCGCATCCCGTCGCGCAGCTCGTAGGGCGCATCGTAAGTGCCACGACGATAAGCTCGTCGCGCTGCCCTGCTGCAGCTCGTCGCCCCGCGCTACCCGCTGCTGCAGCCCGTCGCCCGTCCCGTCGCGCTGCCGCCCATCACCCGCCTCGTCGACCGTCGCCCGTCCCGTTGCGCTGCCGCCCGTCACGTCACGTCCCGTCACCTGCCTTGACAATTGATACCCGCCCTTGTCTCGCTGCAGCCCGTCGCCCGTCCCGTCGCACTGCCGCCCGTCGCCAGATCCCCGCCACCCGTACGCACTCCGCTGCCCGTCGCCAGGTCCCGTCTCGCCCGCACGCAACTGCAGTGAAGGGAGTGGCGGGAGTGGCGAGAGTGGTGGGAGTGGCGGGAGAAGCTGCTGCTACGCCATTGCACGCGCCAGATCGTCCGCGACCCGCACCCCGCACCCCGCCCGTCGCCCGTACGCCACCCGCACCCCGCACCCCGCCCGTCGCCCGTACGTCATCCGCACCACGCACGACGTCCGTGCCCTCGTCCGCGAGACCCGTCCGAACCCTGTACCTGCACCCAGACCGACGTTCTGCCCCAGATCCCGCCCCCCCCCCCCCACCGACAACTGCCACCCCACCCCCATCTCCGGCTCCGTATCCAGCGGGAAGGGGAGGAGGTGTGGTGTTGGCCCGAAGGGGACGGCTGGGGGAGGGGGAGTGGCGGGGTTGGCGGCTCATGTAAGGGGGAGGTTGAGGGGGTGGGTGATCCATCTGCAGCTACTGCCGCCACACCTCCCCCTCTCTCTCTCCGCCGCTGCCGCTGCTGTGGGGGGGGAGGTTCAAGGGGTGTGGGTGGTGAAATTTCAACTGCAGCATCATCCGCCTCCTCCTCCTCTCATCCCTTGTTGCCCGTGCCTTGCTGTCCACCTGTGATTCTGCCCGTGATTCTGCCCGTAATGCTGCCGTGATTGTGCCCGTGATCATACCCGTGTGCTGCCCGTATTTTGCCCGTGTTCTGCCCGTGATCATACCTGTGTGCTGCCCGTATTTTGCCCGTGTTCTGCCCGTGATCCTGACCGTGATTCTGCCCATGATTCTGCCCGTGTTGTCGCCCGTGATTTTGCCCGTGATTCTGCCTGTGATCCTGCCCGTGTTGCTGCCCGTTCCCGTGCCATACTGCCCGTGCCCACCCGTGTCTCCCGTTGCTGCCCGTGTTCTACCCGCGCCCAGTGTCCCCCGTTCTGCCCGTGCTGCCTGTTCTGCCCGTGCAGCCCCGTTGTGCCTGTGTTGCCCCGTTCAGCCCTTGTCCTGCCCCGTTCTTCCTGTGCAGCCCCGTTGTCCCCGTGTTGCCCCGTTCTGCCCGTGTTGCCCCGTTCAGCCCGTGTTCTGCCCTGTTCAGCCCATGTTGCCCCGTTCTGTCCGTGTTGCCCCGTTCAGCCCGTGTTCTGCCCTGTTCTGCCTGTGTTGCCCCGTTCAGCCCGTGTCCTGCCCCGTTCAGCCCATGTTCTGCCCTGTTCTGCCCGTGTTGCCCTGTTCAGCCTGTGTCCTGCCTCGTTCTGCCCGTGTTGCCCCGTTCAGCCCGTGTCCTGCCCCGTTCTGCCCGTGTTGCCCTGTTCTGCCCGTGCTGCCCCGTTCTACCCGTTTGTGCCCTACCCGTGCTGTTCGTGCCCGTTGGTGCCCCACCCATGCTGTCAGTTCTCGCTCGTGCCCCACCCGGTCTGTGCTGCCCGGTCTCGTGCTGCTCGTCACCCCCGTGCGGCCCGTCCCGTACAGCACCTAGTTGCTACCCGAACCCGCTACCCGTACCCGTGCTCCTCGCACACCGTGCACCAGCTGCGGGGTTTCAACCGCAGCCGGGCACCTGTTCCACCGTGGTGGTTCAGATGCTGCTTGGTGGTTGCTGCTTGTCAGCTTCAGAGGGGGGCCCTTGCTGGTGTTCCCACGCCCTGTAATGGGGTTTTACAGGTGTACCCCTTCAAGGGGGGCTCTGCACATGGTTATGCACTTCAGGCAGATAGGGGGTGTGTCACTATAGATTTATATCTATTTAGTATAATCTGCCTGTAGTGTAGCTGCTGTGTAATTCCCTTGTATGGTGGTGCACCTCTTTCATCTTTGTTAGGTTGCTATATGTACTCGTGTGCTATAGTGAACCAACAACCATTCTCAATTCTCCTTGGCACAAACTACTCGACACTCGTTTGGCCTAGGCTACTAAGCCTAGGCCCCTTAGTTAAACCCGTACTCTAGTTAACTTAGTATTGTAACAGCACTCCCCGTCGCGTCGCGTCCCCTGCCCGTCCCGTCCTCTGCCCATCCCGTCCCCTGCTCGTCCCATCCTCTGCCCGTCTCGTCCCCTGCCCGTCCAGTCCCCTGCCCGTCGCGTCCCCTGCCCGTCGCGTCCCCTGCGCATCGCGTCCCCTGCCCGTCGCATCCCCTGCCTGTCGCGTCGCGCTGCCGTCCCATCCCCTGCCCGTTGCGTCCCCTGCTCGTCGCGTCGCGCTGCCGTCCCGTCCCCTGCCCGTCACGTCCCCTGCCCGTCACGTCGCGTTGCCGTCCCGTCCCCCGTCCGTCGCGCCCCCGCTGCGCTCTGCCCATCCGTGGCGCCCCGTGGGCCCTGCCCGTCCGTGGCGCCCCCGCTGCGCCCTGCTCGTCTGTTGCGCCCCGCGCGCCCTGCCCATCCGTCGCGCCCCGTGCGCCCTGCCCGTTCGTCTCGCCCCGTGAGCTCTGTCCGTTTGCGCCTGTCGCGCCCGTCCCTGCCAGTTGCGTCCTGTCCTGACGCGCCACACTGTCTGTCACGCTCTACGCAGGCCCTTCAGACATTTAGGGTTTCGGCAACAGCAGTTCCCACCCCTTCGCTACCGCTATGGCGACCCCTAGGGTTCTGCGCTTTGACGCCGTGGGTAGGCCGCTTGAGTTCTTCATCTGGCTCCTGCGTGCGTGCAGGAGCAGCAGCAGCAGCCGCCGCAGCTGGAGCAGCAGCAGCCGCCGCAGCTGGAGGAGCAGCGGTCGCAGCCGCAGTAGGAGCGGCAGCAGCAGCCACCTCCTCCTCTTGTCTCTGGTCTTCGGACCCTAGGTCTCCCCTCTCCTTCTCCTCCTTCCCCTCCCCCTCCTCCTATCTCTGGTCCTTCACTTCCTCCTCCTGACCCCTCCCCAGCTGTTTTCCCTCCTCCCCTACCCCCTTTGTCCCCTCCTCTTTCTCATACTTGGCCTTCGCGTCACTCTCCTCGTGCTCGTCCCTTGTCCTCTGTTCCCTTCTCTGACCTTTGTACTGCCCTATTTCGTTCTAGTTCGCCTCGTTCGTCTCCTTCTATACTTCCTTCCCCTCCTAAGTCGGCTCTTGCTACTTCCCTCTCTACTCCTATCACTGACTACTACCGCACGTACCGTCCTGTTCTCTCTCGTATTCTTGCCTCTCTTGTTACCGACCCACGTGCTTCTCTATCATCTGTCTCCGCTCTTACTGCCGCATTCACTGAGTTTGCCTCTACTCGCCGCCATGACTACGCCAGAGCTTGTGGGCTACCTCATGTACCCGATGACTTGTACTCGCCCGGACCTCGCCTTCCCTCTCAGCATCCTGGCTCGCTTTGCTGCACCAGGGAGACACCGTCCAGTTCACTGGACAGCTGCTGTGAGGGTGGCGAAGTACCTAGCGACACCATCAGGCGTGGGGTTGGTTCTGCGTTGGTTCACCTTCTTGCTCACCGACCTTGGTGAGCGACCGAGCTCTGCACCGACCTTGTTCACTGACAATAAGGCGTCGATTCTCCTCAGTCGAGAGCCGCGACTGGAGAGCAGAGTGAAGCGCATGAACGTTAGGTACTTTCTTCTGCGAGATTTGCAGAGGCGTGGACAGGCTCGCTTCAACTTTGTGGAGTCCGAGGCCAACACTGCAGACATCTTCACCAAGGCGCTTCCGCCTTGTGACCACCAGAGGTGTTGTGTGCAGTTAGCTCGTTGGCACAGGTTCTCGCCTTACGTAGTCTTGAGTTCTCTGCTTGCCTTGTTTGTACGCTTTATATATACCTCTGTGAACTCTTGAACTAGCATTGTTGCTCTTTTACTTATGCTCGGAGTGCGTGGTGACGTTGTGATCCACCCTGAGCTTTGTTTCGTTGTGACTGGTCTTGTGACTGTACACTTAGACTATGGGGGTGTGTCAAATGTTGTAGTCTTAGTGATGTGTATTATAGGGGGTACAACTGTTAGGGCTAGGTTTATGTACCCCAACCAACCTCAGTCAAACAAACACTTTCATTCTTGACAGTTTCAACAGTTTTTGTCTCGTGCAACTTACTAGATGTGATTCGAAATGACTGTTCGGATTCGCCAGCTCACATCTACGGTTGACGCGCGTCACGCTCAGCCATTTCCCCATATCCGTTGTTTTCGATTTTGGCGTGGTTTATGTGGGAAGATATACCTCAACAGACGAAATATGACGCCCAATTTTGGGTTTGCAATAGGACAAGGGCCCTCCTCGGGATTGACGAACTTGTGACGACCTCCCCGTGGCAAGCTGGGGCGAACACGCTGTGCTCCGGGCCCCTAGAGCCCTCGGGATTGTCGACGTTCTGACGACCTCGGGTTTCGCTAAGAGAAACCTGAGAAGGATATCTCAGCAGACAATAAAATCCTGCCTCACGGCATACTAGGGACGATCACGATTGTCCCTTTTAATCGCGGGGTGCCACGACGGCCACGACATGGCCACGTGTCACTCCACGGGTCAATGTTATTTGCGCAGGAACACGTCGCCTCGATAAAAAACGTTGGCAAAGTCCACGCGGCGAACAACGAATTGCTAATGCATGTACACGTGTCGAGCATCCACGGGAGCTAGAGATCGCGGGAAAAAAAAATCCGTCGCGTTTTGCAATGTTGGTGTCGCCCAAAGATCCAACTGCAGCTGCATGATCCACGCGGCATAATCTGATCGGACCCTTACATGGCTAGGTGAAGCAAATCTAACACACAGGGAATGTCGGCGTCGATCAACGGGATGACACGCGGGCAAGCACATGTCAATAACGTTTGCGCAGGAAAGTCGGCCGCTACGGCATTTCTAGAGAGTGGAACAAGTGATTGGCCTAGACCACGTGGCTATCGCGAAATCCACTGTGGAATGGCCCAGGCTTGGGCTCATTGACTGCAGCGCAGCGTGACACTAGCCATGCATGGATCGTGGCACGTTAGACACATGCATAGCGGCGCACGCAAAGAGGGCTACGTGGAGCGCCGCAGGTGCGGAGTCGCTCGCAACCATACCCCTCCTTGACCATGCGCAAGGTCCACATTCTTCCTGTCTGTTTGCGTTCCTTCCCCCGTATTGGGTGCGCTCTCTGGCACTTCGAATTTTCCCCACCCTCACTATCTTCACCTGTGTAGGTTACTCAAGCGCCAACAAGACGGTCTCGTCAGCACAGTTCTCGTCGACCTGGCAGAGACAAACCAGGTCGGTGTTGAGGGTCGGTTGTCGACTTCGCCGTACGAGGTTCTAGGGCAGCATCTCGTAAAGTCGGCGCAGTTTGAATAGATCTACCGACCGACCAAGACGGGACAACACCACCTTACTGAGTCGGCGACGCATGACCAGAGGACGGCCTAGTGCCCAACAGCCGCAACCCATCCAACCCCCTGCCGACAATGTAGACGCCGACATCAAAGCGCAGATGGAACGTGCAGAGATCGCCGCTGAGTCAGAAGCACTTGAGAGGGAATTTGAGCTTGACGCCTGCTGTCATAAACTGAATTGTCTGTTCATTGATGTGGGTTGGGGTACATATAGCAAACCCTAATATTTGTACCCCCTAAGACAAGCCTCACTACAGGCTACAACATTTGACACACCCCCATAGCCTAAGTGAGGGGTGTCTAGCAAAGACAAAAGAGTATGGTCACAAGACCAATCACAAACAAACAAAGCTCAGGGTGGATCACAACATCACCACACATTCCGAGTGCAAGCAAAGGGCCACAAGGCATGTTCAAGAGTTCACAGGTATATATGTAATGAGTACAAGACAACAAGCAACGACTATGCAAGACGAGAACCAGAGTCAACGAGACCTAACTGCACAAAACACCTGTGGTGGTCACAAGGCGGAAGCGCCTTGGTGAAGATGTCGGCAGTGTTGGCATCGGACTCCACAAAGTTGAAGCGAGCCTGTCCACGCCTCTGCAACTCTCGCAGAAGAAAGTACCTGACGTTGATGTGCTTCACCCTGCTCTCCGTCGAGGCTCCCGACAGAGGAGAATTGCCGCCTTGTTGTCAGTGAACAAGGTCGGTGCAAAGCTCGGCCACTCACCAAGGTATGTGAGCAAGAAGGTCAACCAACGCAGCTCCTGTGCAGCCATGGCTCCAGCGCAGATCTTAGCCTCAGCGGTAGAGGTCGAGACCAAGGAGGAGCGCGTGGACCTCCACAAAACAGCTCCAGAGCCCAGGCTGAAACAGTAACCCTGAGTAGACCTGTGGGTCTCGGCGACGTCAGCGTAAGAAGAGTCACAGTGACCAGTAAGTACGACCGGTTGTGTCCCTCCAAGTACCAGCCCCATGTCTGATGTCGTCGCTAGGTACTTCGCCACCCTCACAGCAGCGGTCCAGTGAACAAGTCGGTGTCTCCCTAGCGCAACAAAGCAAGCAAGGATGCTGAGAGGGTTGGCGAGGTCCGAGCGAGTACAAGTCATCAGGTATATGAGGTAGCCCACAAGCTCTGCGTAGGGACCACTCGGCTCAAACGGCTCGTCAGGAAAGGGACCAGTGAGTCTGTGGTCAACAGCAAGAGGTGTGCGCTGTACTGTGGAGTGCTGAAGCTCGAACCGCTGAAGGACCTGCTGCACCATGTGTGACTGTGAGAGTGTAATGGTGCGAGCGGCTCTGTCCCTGGTGATCTGCAGGCCAAGGTAGTGGCGCAGCTCACCAAGGTCAGTGCACGTGTGTCTCTTCTGCAGTTTGCGCTTCACGTCAGCCAAAGAAACCCTGTTAGCAGTGGCGAAAACCAGGTTGTCGACGTAGACCAGTAGAAACAACGGTGTGGAGCCATGCCGAACAAACAGCGACGGGGTGGTAGAAGGCGGCTGAAAACCGAGGTCAGACAGGGTAGAACAAAGGGTGTCATGCCACTCACGAGTAGCCTGACGGAGACTGTAGACCGGTCGCCTCAGCCTCCACTGGGTCCCAGGAGGGAAAGTCAGAGGGACGATGCAACCAGACCTCCTCGTGTAGGCTACCCTGAAGGAAGCCAGTGGAGAAGTCGAGAGAGTGTAGCTCGTAGTCTCTCTGTGCTGCTACGTGCAGTAGCACCCGAAGAGTGGTCATCTTCGGGGTAGGCGCGAAGGTCTGAAAGGAGTCAACTCCCTCACACTGACTGAATCCTCTAGCCACATAGCGCGCCTTGAAGACCGGAGGAGATCCCGGTGGCCGCTTCACCCTGAAGATTCACATGCCATCGACTACGTTCGCCCCAGGGGGGGGAACCTCGCCGACGTAGGTGCCTGTGGATCTGTAGGAGGCCATCTCTGAGTCCATGGCAGCTCTCCACTTAGAGGCCCAAGGCCCTGACACTGCCTCAGCGTAAGTGCGAGGAGTCGGTATGTCAAGGGCGTCGGGGTCTCCCTCAGGAGCTAGCAACATGGCACAGAGATAAGGGGAAGCGGCTGCCAGGAACTCTAGCTCAAACTGCCTATCCTCTAGGGCGTCACAGCCAAGGGCGGACTCACCCCCGACGGCCAGAGGACTGGTAGGAAGAGCAGCCACAAGACTGGTGGCGTAGTCAA